ATCAAACACAAATTTTCTGTACCATTTTGACAAAAATCCTAATAACAGAAATTGCTTTTGGACAACAACCATATCCTATAAAAATACTTATGTTAGGAGATGTCTTTGAATTGTCCTATTTCATCCAGGGTTCGGGTCAAAGGCATGCAAACTATTTCTTCCTGCTATTTCTTCACTGTGCTCAAGCAAGCAGCAGAGGGCGCAGCTCCCTGCTGAAAGCCTCCCAAGCTGGAGGTTGTGTGACTGCCTTATTCTGCTTAAAACCTTTTCTGAAACGTTTCTAAAATGTACCAAAAGAGATGCTTGATTAAAACACTGCAGTTTCCACAGCCAGTAATACCCCTGACAGAAGGTGCTTCTCTTTAGCCAGCAGTTAACTCTGTACAAAATCATAAGGTTTAGTTAATGCCTGATGCAACTTCCAGAATACAGCTGTTACCGCAGACCACTTTAAGTATTTACATACTGTTTTGTACACAACTCCAAAAATTGTGTATGTTTGGTTACCTTTGGCAAACATCTGCTCCTTACGTACAGTCTGAATTTATTCAGAAGCACTAGGAGTAATACTTGGCAAAGCTGTATTCAAACTGATTAGCAGCTTCACTTAAAGGGTCCAACCAAATCCTCAGGTTGTTACCTCATTCAGGTAACAATTTTCAGCAGTCTTATGGCACACAAATATGATTTTCAACTTCTGGCCCCAAACTCTGGAGTCTGTGGATTCTTTTCAAGGTGAAAGACAATTAACAGCAAACTTGCTTTCAGTAGGCTTTGATTTTCTCTTTGTTGGTAAATGTTTAAGCATCTGGAAATCAAAGAACTGAAACCCCCTAATGTAGAGCAAGTAAAATATACCATTATAACAGTCTGTCTTTCTCTTTCATATGTTGTATCTGAAAAACCCATTAAGTCTGTTGCAGCTAGGTATGCTTCTTACATATTAAGGTACAGAATTAAAATGAAAGAATCAAACATAGGACTACCCATCCCTTCTGACACAGCTTGTTTAATGCTGTGCCAATATAACTGCAAATAATCAATTTTTTATTTATCACCATGCAATGTCCACCTATAAATCTGTTCTGATATCTGTATGTATCAGTTGCCATTCAATATATTCCCTGAATCCGAGTTGCATAATGACATTTATAAAGTTTTGATGAAATTTACTAGAAAATATGGATTACATAAGCTCACTTAACACTTGATACAGGAAAAGATTATGCATACTTCATTAGCTGGACGCATTTTTTTTCCTTGCTTCAGACTTTGGCTGTCCTCATGACTGGGATAGGGAGTTACAGGACAGTTTCATAATTTATAGGTCTGTCAACAAATAGGAGTAAAGAAATCTTTTATCTTTCACTACTTAAAATAAATGCCTAGTTAGTATTAAAAACTAAAACTATATCCTGTAGCAGATAAAACTCCACAGTTAAGCTAACACTTTTTCCCTCACAAAGAGAGGTCAGGTTTTATCTTATCCACAATAACCAGCCGTTCATAGACAAAAGTAAACTGTATCTTGCCCATTAGCAAAGCCTGGTGCAGGAAGCAGGATAAAGGTAACACGAGAAAATACCTTGTTCACAACCATTGGGGTCCTGTTATCTCCCACCTTTATGCCACAGGCCAATATTTACTATGTCTTATTTTATTTTTAAATCCTTATCTCTTGCATGCTATGCAATACTTTTCACAAGAATAGACAGAGCTTCCTCAGACCAAGCAATGCCTGGTAGCATGGAAGCATCCTCCTTCTAGCTCAATCCAAAACTTTCATAACTTTGCAATTTCCTTCCACTAATTTATTTACAATAGCTATAAGGGAAGATTATGTAATACAGTTTATTTAATTTTGACCAGAGCATTACAAATAACAATATCTTAATTCTTTGTAAACATCACCTAAGTAGGATCACTATGAGACCTAGTGAAATATTTTATAAACTTTTTGTAGGATTTTTTCACAAATCAATTAATCATCAAGGTACATAGTATTTGGCAGTTAAAAATGCAAAAAAAGTCCTCTGAATATTCTTGTAATTTAACATTTTTCGAAAGAGTTTTTTTGTGTTCTGCTTTGTTTTGTTTTGTTTTGGTCTGGTTTCTTTCTGTCCAGTGTCCTTAAAATAAGACTTTTCACATTCATTCCTATACGGTGTTCACTTTTAATTTCATACTTGCAAATAAGATCATTAGGTGTCCTGCTATGCAGAAAGTTAGAAACATCTATAGTGGTTTACAGGTGTAGAGCTACAGACATCAAAACTTTGCCCACACTCATCTGCAAAGCCAGGGATCCACTTCTATTTATACTTTGAAGGTTTTGCCAAGGATATCACATTTCTTTCATCCCCGTTTCCTGGAAAGGTGCTAACATTTTCCCTGCAGAGTGTGGATAGCCTAAAGTGTGGATGCAGTAGTTAGCGGTTGATGGAATACAGCTTATTAACCATCCATGATCTTCAGCTGCCTGTGCTGCTGGGACATTTTTTGTGGTTGCTGTCTTGTAATTTAGTCCCACAATTCTAGTGCATTTGTATAACATAACAATGGCTGGACTACAAGTACACTGGAGGAATGCACGACAGCCATAGAAATAAAGTGCTTTGAATCATATTGTCTATCATATTGTTGGATAGGAGAAGGAACTGAAAGAAGTCACCCAAATGGCAAGTGCTGTGCAACAATTGGTAAGGTATGAGCCACAATTCCTAAGTTGCATCACCTTAGTTCCTGGGACTTTGTTTAAAGTCAAAGCTAATTTCTGTGTCATCTGCAGAAAAGCTGATAATACAGCCACATTGTAACTTCAAGAATTAAAATGTGTGGTAAATCTATTGAAAGAAATACTGGATTCTTTTCCTTTGAATCCTGATTCATGATCTCTTCGTGAGCTCAAGAGCTCCTTTGTAACATTAATCTTACTCTCTACATTCACACAGAAAAAAAAAATTGTTTTTGACAGGCTTTAATTTAAAATTGTAAGAACAGCTTGTACTTTAATTAAGAAATACTAGTAATTAAGTATTTTAGCAATAGTAATAGGGTCATAGTTAAAAGCTGAAACTTCAGGAGGTATAAAAGGGTGTAATGGGAGAAATCATAAGCCAGTTGTGTTGGGTTTCAAGAAGCAAACCAGTTGTTGTGTCAGTCACACACTGCTGCATTTTAGTTGGAGGTCTAGAATTACTCTAAAGCCTGGTTGATGAGACAGTAAAAAGGTCACAATTCTAAAATCTTGGCTCCTCTTCCAAGAGATCATTTTCCTGACTCTCTGCCATGCTCACCTTGTGCAGAAAGAGTATCTTTCATAGTCAGAAAATTGACATTGATTATCTGATCAAGCAAAAGATACTGTGGACATTTTTCCACATTATATTCCCATTGCATCTGTATAACAAGTTAAGATTTATATTTCCTTTGGCTGTTATTCCTAAAATTTGATTCCGTTCTTTGTTAGAACATTCAAAATTATCTTGTCCCACTCTTCTGTATTTTTTGTCACTGACTTTCTTCATATTATTTTGTCCCCGTATCATGCTGGAATGCACCCTCTGTTTCACTCAGACCATAAACACAATTTCAGATCTCTGTGGATTACTCCTAACTAGTCACTTGGGGTTTTTTTAGTGGTCCAGCCAATAGTTCTTAACACCTGACAGAAGGTTTTTGATATTATCTATATAACTCACAGTGACCAACACTGCCTACAGATGACTGATCAGACAAGGAACTGAGGAATCTCTGGCTCTTTCACTCTGCTGTGATTGTGAACAACTGCAGAGGATTTGGTGCTGTGACTCTCATAGGAATGAAGGAATTTATCCTACATTATTCCAAAGCAATGATAATAATTGACATCAAATCTGGTCAAAAGTTTCTCTTCTGGAAGAAACACAATCTGTTTCAGGACAGTTCTTTAAAGAATTTATACATTTTACTGATGCTTGCTAAATCCCTTCCCAAATATGTTTGAAAGTGTTCTGATCCTTAAAGTGAAAAACTTTTGAGCCATGAATATCTTTTTCCCAATGTATGAGGCCTACCTGTCCCTCCAGGACTCCTAACTGTCCTAGGGGACAGGCAGGAGGTTGGGAGGTTTACGTGTCCCTAATAACCTTGTAGCTTGGACTTAAATCCCAAATCTTCTCATGCAGCAGGAGAGAGTCTGCAAGTCCTGAGTGCCTGGGATGAAAGTAGCATTTTTGGGTGCTCCTGGGTTGCCTGCTCTATGACGCAGTTCTCCAGAGCAGTGGATTGAATTTATTTAGTGTCTGGTGTCAGGTTTGCTTTCTGAAGCCTCAAAACACAGTCACTGATACCAACCCAAGTCTGTTGCAAGTCTAAACATGGGAGTAATTTATCGCAGCAATTCCAGACCGTAGCAGCCAGGACAGCGTCAGGCTCGCAGTTCCCCTTACCCCAACAAGGTGCTGAAGGGTTGCTGGAAGATCCTGGAAGGGTTCCTGAGATCTTCAGACTCCCTGCTGAAGAACTGGAAGTTAACAGCAGGGCAGGTCCAGCAAACCTAGTATTTCCAGCTGATCTACTTGTTTTTCGATCTTAATTTCTCACGTAATTTGCACAGGAAATTTGCCCAAGGACCATAAATTGTGCACCCTTCACTTCCAGGAGAAATTTCATGATGTAGTGAAACACTGATACCATTTTAGTAATCTGACTAGTAAATTGATCAGGGACTAAGCAGGTGAAGCTGTCTTTCTTTCAACAGAAGTTGGTGGTGGTAATTTTCCCTTGAACTTTTCAATTCTGATAAAACATAATTTCTGAACAACAAAAAAATCAACAGAATATTGCAATCCACCTATAACTGAGACACACCTAAAAGCTGTCATACTCCCAGGCATCATATTTTACAGATTATACCATTACTTGCACAATGGTATCTGAAATTCCTGACGTCGGCTGCGGACATCTGCAAGAGCAGATATCAGTAGTTTCCTATTACTGAGAATAGTCTGCAAGAAAAACAGGAAAATGTCAACAGGTTCCATTTTTGCAACTCAGGATGACAAGGCAATGCCTACATAGTCTATGATAAACCTTATTTTATATAGAAATAATTACTCCATGCACTCTGTTCAAATGGTTACAAATATAGATAATACCACAACTATTTAACTGTGCTACAGTACTTGTCAATCATAAGGTCCTAAAAATAAAACCCTGCTTTTCAGCACATCTGAGACAGAGTTTAAGCCAAGCAAAATCCCATATGTGTTAGTAGAATTTAGCTTTAAAACAGAGAGTCAGGGCATGGTGTCTTATTACTGAAGAAACAGCTGATTGTGTGTATTCTTGAAGTACGAGATAGGACTTGCTTTGGAAGTTGGACTTCAGTCATGCACTTAATCAGGTATCAGTCCCCAAGAAGATTGCCTTGAAGATTCCCAGCAGTACAAGAATGGCTTGAGATCATTTCCAAAACATCTGAAGCTGGTAGTACTTAGTAGGCCTCAAATGTTCTCTTTTATTAATGAGAGCATTGTTAGTCATATTAATGTAATTATTTAATAATATATTGACCATTTTGTTGCACACGGACATTGTTATTTGTTTTCCCCCAATAAAAGCTACTGAGACCAAATATTTATTAGAGATATCAAAAGTTAACATTATAAAATCCATATGTAGATGTCTTTAATCATTGACATGGATTTTCAAAAAGGCTGAGCATTCATTGTTTTCTCTGTGGTCTGCACTTTCATACTGTAATTATCCTTTGGATTGTGAAGATTTAATGTAAACGTCTTTCGATAGCATTTGAATAGTTATAATGATGTATATTTTAACTTGGCATCTAAATCATATCTGTGTCAATATACGTACTGAAACAAAAAGTAAATACATTGCAAGCCACACTGTTTCCTTATTACAATCCTTTCTCTTATCACAGTTACTCATACCATTCTGAAATCATATGAAATCAATAAAGGTTGGTTAGAAAATATTACTGTTTAAGCAGGCGTATGAAAGCCCAGGCATAAGTAAGTTAGACATTCAGAAGAAAATCAAAGCAGACATCTTAACAGCTTTTATCAGGACTATCATTTTCTTTAAAAGAAGACAGTACCTTGCAAGGAGAAAAAAAGGTGTTAAATTTGAACTGGAGTTATTGAAGGAACAATAGCAAAAGCTATCTTTAATAGATCAGATTTATTTACATATATTGAATATTTATTTCCTTTCCTTATAAAAATTCTCCAGAATTACATGGATTATTAGCATATCAAGTATCTGTATTATGTATACAATTGGTTCTAAGGGAAACTGTCATGAATTCAGTATTGGTACAGAATTAGAAGTAGGAAACTTTGATCATTTATTTATTTGCCTGGGACCTGACCACTGGCACAAGTTATACCCTATTGCCAGCAGAGACCATCAATCTCATATAAAACCCAAGGAAGTAAAAAAATGTGTATCTCTGGGGCTCTTCTGGATCACTTGGAAACTTTCCACATGCTAAAAGATTGTAGATGTTGGACATTCATTCCATCTGGATTTTGAGGATAAGGACAATCAATCAGGTTAGTAAAAAGTGGATCTGGAGAGGGGATGTGAGAAATTCTTTTTTTTCATTCTCTTTTTCTCCAATTTATATAGAAAACTACTAACTGCCTTTAAGCAGTATTTACATAGATTAGGATATGCTTGCTAACTTTGTTATACTAGTTGGCAATACACATTAAGTGTCACAGGAGATTATGTTCTTTAAAATTAGGACTATCAGCAAAAGGACTGCCAGTTTCCCAGTAGGAAATCATCAGGATAATCACTGATTTGGGGAGTAGAAGGTAAGAGGAAGGTTTCTAAGCACAGTTACTCAATTGCGCTTTTTATTTTGTTATCAACGTGTGGTGGGAGATTTATACATCTGTAAAAGTATAACCCCATATGAAATCATTCTGGACTCGTTTTTTTTCTTTATTACCTTGACAGCAAAAGAAGAGATTTCTTGGTGTGTAATACTGCACGTGCTGCAAGAACTTCAGGAATGTATTTCTAAGCATTGTGAATAGTTACAGGCGGGAAACAATACCTATTTGTGTTCTTGTAAGCAAGGAAATAATGATAATGGACAACAAACAGTGCCAATAACATCCGAGTACACCTGTGGTATCTCATAATCTAAATTCAGAAAGCATCAAGTACCTGTAGCTGTTACTTCTGTGAAGAAAGAGACCTTAAAATACTGTCAGAAATAAATTTTAGTGAGAAGTGAATTCCATGAGGTAGGACTGTTTGTTCTGCAGTAATTAAAATCCAATTACTGTTTTTGGCAAACTGCTGGTTTTCTGCATTATTTTTCCTTTTGTTTTCTCTCTGAAGTAGGTGTATTCACAGGTATTTCACCTAAATTTTGGAACTGTATCAAGGAGACATGCAGATTCACTAATATTAATGCACTTATATACATACCTAGAATTAAAACTTTCAATAACTTTGGCTTAACTGCATAAACTGTTGTGTTGAGGTTTTTTTTTGTTATGTTTTGTTTTGTTTTCTTTTTCTTCCAGATGTTCAAAAATAATCTAATATCAAGATATGTTAACATGTGAACATGGAGAAAATGGCTTGCAAGTTAAAAAATCTTTAAAATCTATACCTTGCTTGTCAGGAAGACATTATTGATTGATTTTTTGTACCATACATCATGTATTTGCAGAGCTGAGTGGTGGACCTCTCATTGAAATATGGAGATTGAGGCAGTTTCATTCCAAAGGCCAAACTGAAGAGCAAGGATCAGAGCACACAGTGGATGGAAGGATATATGCCTGAGAGGTACAGTCAATGGAAAAATGTCAAAGCCAAGTTTTCAGTCTGGTCACATACATCACCCCAGGCAAAAAGGAAAAAAAAATTAAAAAAGCATATGTAGATAGCTTTGATTGATTGATAATTATTTTATTGTGCAAAAGCAATACCATTTATGCATGTGCAAAGTTGAAGAAACAAATTAGGGTTTGTAATCAGTACTTATTATTCTGAATTGAGATACTTGAAATAGTACTTAAATAATGAAATAGATCTGGAATGTGCAGGTATAAAAGTAAGTAGCACCTGCTAGATGTTAAAATGTCAGCTGCAAAAGTACATTCAGCTTAAAACTAAATCAGCTGCTTTTTAGAGAGTTTCATCACCTAGCACACTGTATTTGTAGCTGGAGCTACAAGCTACAGGCATGATGATTATTGTAAGGTGTTTTTTTTTCCCTGGATTTTCAAAATCAGCAAATAAGAAAGGAACCCAGAAGAAATTCACAAAGAAAAAGAGGTAAAAATATAAATAGCGAGGGCATCAACAGCTGTCAAGTACATTAAATGGCTTCAGATAACGAAGCAAGGTCTGGTTTACAAAAATTAAAACCCGCCTCCAAAGTAACAGCTTTTATTTGCTTTCCTGTGGCTTAGTGTCCTGCTAATAGTGATCAACACGCCAAAAACCAATTCATGTTCAATCCATGTACTGTTATCTTTGGCAGCTTTCTAGATTTTAGGAACATTACAACATGACAAACTAATGAGATGGATTTTTAATTTAGGCATTAGAAACAGAGACAGAAGTGTGTTCCTAATAAGAAATTTTCCGCTATTGAGAGTGCTAAAGCTATCTCATTTGATGCAGCCAAGATAAGGAAGGGGTGTCCCTTTAGAATTGCTTTCTGCTGTAAAGAGATAGTGCACTTAAGTTGTGTTTAAGCAGCACATGATTGTTTATTAGTTTGCTTTGAATCAATAGTTTAAAATATATTGAAACAGTACAGATATTGAGTTGAAAAGCAATTCAGCTTTAAAAAAAATAGCAGAAATTAACCCCCCCGATTTAAATCAGAATTTTAAGATTATGTGCATTACATGATTATTTCCGTGTTCTGTTTCTGTATTTTAGAATCTTCTGCCTGTATTTTAAGATGTATTGATATTTTTTGTGGCCATATTGCTGTAACATTATACAAATAATCCAGGACTAGACTATTGCCATAGAATTACATAGTCAGTAAGGAACTGCCAAGCATATTCATAGATGAGAAGGCATTTAAAGAAATTATTATGATTTCCATGTTCTGTAAGTTTTGGAATTTTATATTTCACACACACAAAAAAATAGTTCAAGACATAATATGCAACATACTAGGCTGAACAAAGTTCCTTAAAACGCTATAAAAGCAAATACTCTTAAATACTTATTGAAAGATCTATTTTGAATACAAACCATCCACAGCCATGGTGTTCATTGCCATACCATCGATCTTTTTCAGTGAATGGGACTATTGTGAACAAATATTGCACCATGTGTAACAAAGTGCAAAACTACATTAAATGCTGTTTAATGCATTACATTTTTAAAGACATGGAATTAAAGGCATGCACAGGAAACTGTTAACAATAAAGTTGAGAAAAATACATGTCCCTTTGAAGCTGTGTTTTTCCACATCTCTGTGTTCTTACCCCTGAATTGCTTTCAGGAATACATGCAGTTCTGCCTACCCCAAGGTGAAGCCTGGATGCGAGTCCTGACAATGCCAGGGCAATTCAACTAAACACCATAAATCTGCAGGCGTTCGTTCACAAGCATGGTCTCGGTTTCACAGTCTGACCCTAAGAGTGCAGAGTCGTGTTTCTGTTTTACTCTAATTGTGGCATTTCTGGGTAATAGGACCAGCAAAAATGATCCTGTAAATTGCCTTTTAGCTTTATTTCACTCTCTGGAATGCTGACAAGTATTCGAATGTAGCTGAGGTTTCAAGCAAGCTGAATGGCTTGGCAGTTGTCACTTGTCCTGAAGGTCAGTTACTGACATACTGAAAACACATTGCTCTTCCCTTTCCTTAGCAATACTGCAGTCAGTGATGAGGACTAGGAAAACCAGGCCTTTCAGTTAAATCAGTGGACATTACTGTCTCTTATCCTGATTTAGCCCATATTGACAACTTTTCCCATGCTTCTACACTGATATTTTTACCCGAATACCCATTTCATGAGCTCCCACCTTTTGTGTTTGCTTCTCAGTCCACTTAGAGCAACGTGAACTTTCACAGAAAGTAGTTTTGAATTGGATGTGCTACTATTGTCTGATAATCAGAAAAGAAAATTCTAAATCAGAAAGCCAAGAAATCTAGAACCCATGCACGTATCTGTCAAAATCAACTGAGACAGGAAAAAGAAAACAAAACAACAAAGCAAAACCCCCAAAACAGCAAAACCATCTCTTTGAATGCTTTCAAAGTGAATTTTAAGGATAAGAACATATGATCAAGGCAACCATGTACTTCTGAACGACAGACTGGTTTTGCACTGCTGATGGCATTAGTCTGCCAAGCAGAAGCAAAACTTCCTGTTATTTCCTCAAAAGTCCTAAATTTTGTCTCAGAGGGTTTGCAAAGCTAAAGTAATCAGCATTTATAAAGCATATTGTTATTCTCAATTCTGTTAGAAAAAAACTATTGCTACATACTTAGGATTTTCTTATTTACAGATTGGCTTATGCAAGGAAAACATGAAGGCTGTTTTGAAGGCCTTGGATTCAGTAAAGACTAAGATAAACATCATCACAGCCTAATCATGATAATATATAAGGTAGCTAAATTGAATTATAAGCAGTCTCTCATCTGCCTTTTGAACACCTCAGAAGAATGCAGCTGAAGGAGGCTGTTGGGGTGTGGGAGCTGAAAGCATGATCCTGGGCATAAGCTAGTGGGATCCCATAAGATATTTGTATTGTTGGTGCTCCACCATGTAGACAGCTATCAGCTCTTTGGATGGGGTCTTCATCACAGTCTAGTGGAACGTATCCCTGCCTATGGCAGGGGGTTTGGAACAAGATGATTTTTAAGGTCGCTTCCAACCCAAACCATTCTATAACTCTATGTTTCTATGTGTTCTTAGCTGCAATTTTCCTGTCCTGCCAGAAGCCATTGTAATTCACTATGGTATTTGGCTAGTGCTTTTACCAGAATTAATCTATATTCATTTTGTGGTAGGCAAATTCATTTTAACAGTGAATTTTAACAATGAAATGTACTTTAAAGTTTTTAATTAGTCTTCTCATTCCTTCTGATGTACTAAGTAAATTGTGTTCATAAGAAGCAAAGTAATTGTTCAGAGTGAAATTAATCAGTATTCAGCTTTCCACAAGGAGTTTATGCAACTCTATGAGATGTCTGTTGTTTTTTTTTTTCAATTAAATTTCTGCTGCTAATAGCAATTACTAATGGGTTATTGTTGATGTGGCTAATAAAAACGGTTTCTTTTTCTAGTTTAGCTGATATATTCCCAATTAAATTAATAAAGAAAACACTTTGAAAAGAAACACTTGTATTAGAGCTATGCTACCAGTGTTTTATAAGAAATTGTGTGATAATTGCTGTTTTATTTCATCTGTAGATCTAATAAGGAATTCTTAGACATATGTCCATGAAAAAATAAAGCACCTTGGTCTAGCCATAATACTTATGGCACCAATCTCACTATTTCTCAAGCAGAGGAATACTCTGCAAATGACAGCAGTGGCAACTGAATTATTTCATAGAGCAGTGGCAAAGGTCTGAAGAAGATAACCAGCTTCTATATAAAAAACATAAAGCATTAGAGCAGGAATTAGGATTCTAGTTGACCTCATTATGTAATTTAAATGTTATTTGACTGAAATTATGAAGTACCTTCATTAAATTATGTGGCCATTATCTGTTTGGTGCTTGCAGTATTTGTTTCTACAGATATAGTTTCTCCTTTAACATTTGCATGCCTGGGACTTTCCAGTAAAAGAAGCACTGTAAACATTCACAGTTCCTCACATTTCCTATAAATTTTCAAATCCATGTTCCCAACATATCCAAAAGCCAAACTGCTTTAAATGCAGAATACCACCTCTGCTGCAGTCAGTCCTCCTTTTTAGCTAACCAGTGTGTGTATCCAGCAACATGTGAAATGAATAACTAATTACTTGCCCAAATCAAATCATCTTATACCTCGTTGGCTAGTGCACTTTTGCTGCCTTGTGCCATTAGCCTGTTAAACACAATGACAGAAGTCAAGACTCTAACTTAACTCTATGCAATGCCTTTGTAAGAAACACAATAAAATCATTCCAAGACCTTTATTGACTCTGTTCCATACAGGTGTCACATTTATAACTAGCTTTCTGTATTTAATAGGTTTTGAGATATCACAAGCAGTGTACCGGGGGAAAAAAGGGGAGGTCATTTGGTCTTATTCTACTAGCTTGGAACTAAAGGAAAAATTGTTAATTGAAAGTGCAGAAGAGTGAGCATAAACTGCAGCTAAAATGTAATACTTCAGCTTAGTTTGAGACTTCCACCTTTATGAACAAGAGTCTTCCTTTTGTCAGAAAAGCTTCTTTTCTTAATATCATTTCCTGATGCAAAATCATAAACAAAATGGGAGTTAACCCATGAACATAGGAATGAGGAGCTCAGTACTCAAAATCAGTCTCCACTTCTGTGATAATCAAAAAGCAGACAAATCAACATTTAGTCAGAAACTCCTGCCATCCTCATCAGCAATACCTATTCCTATTACTGTATTAAGCCAAGCTAGCAAAATGCTTCCTTCTCTTCATAAATTCACAAAAAGGATTACAAAGGGGCAAATAATTCTCTCAGGTAACTGATACCTTCTTAATGAGTGATCCTGAAACCACACCGCTTGTCTCTGTCTTGGTGCAACAGCTGCATCATGGATGCAGCTGTGATCAGGAAAATAATAATTTTCACTCCTCTTGGTTCTCCAGAAACAAAATCTGATGGTGCTCATGGGAAAAGTGAGAACAGACACTGCTGTATCAGTTTGACAGGTTTCAGAAGAGGCATCTTCCTTGTGATGGCAGTGAAAAAATTTAACTTCACAAAGAGATCACAACAGGCACACATTTAAGAAATAGGAACAAATCTGTTAGGCAGAACAACAGCTTCCTATACAGAGCTGTTTCATTCAAAGTCTCTTTACAGAGCTTTGTAACAAGTGTCCTGAGCTATATCTTGTAATTTCTCAGATTGAGGGTGGGACTGAGCTGCCCAGCTGTGGGTTCAACCAGTTGGAGGCTTTTGCAGATGTGCATAAGGGTGACAGAGAGTGGGCACCTGGATCTACCGTTTTTTTCAAGTTTTTCTCCAACATAAATTATTTCACCTGCTGCTTTTTTGTGCAACTCCTTCAGAAAATTACTTCAGTAAAATACAAGTGAAAACATCAAGTTGGAACAACTGTGGAAATCAAATGGACCTGATTATGACAACCAAGGAAAAGGAAAAGGTTGCTGAAAAACAGGCACAAGGATTAATGGTGTACTGCTGCACAGTAATGCATTGTTCCTTCCTTGCATGCCTTACTCAAGATTTTCTGCACTAGCACAGAGCTTAAATAAAATGCATTTATTTTTTGACTGCTGAAGCCATTAAGTCCTTTGCAATGCTCTGAGGTAACAAAGAGATCACACCATAAAAGCATTTAAATAAAAAAGCTATATTGTGCCACACATTTCACCTTAGTGTAGATGGAGCCAAGTCAGTTTAATCAGTATAAGAAAAAGACATCTGTGTACTGTGACTAATGTCTTTAAGTGCATTGCAGCACTATGTCAGCCAAAGGCGTAAAGTTCCTCTCAGAAGGGTGCTAAGTGAGCCTGGGTGACAATGAGGCTCCTGCTCCCACAAGAGACTGAGTGCCCTTCGTCCCTAAGGAGTCCCGGTGGCTTCCAGCCGACAAGCAAAGGGTGGTGCTACTGCAGGGTGCTGGCCTGCTGAGGCCATGGTGCCCGAATGTGCTGTTTTGGAAGCAGTGACAGCAGCAGCACCTTCTGATCCTGCAGCCTGAAACGAGCACTTGCCTCGCCACCAAGCTATCGACACCTGATGACCCCTTCTAGATAGCCATTACGTTCACTTCCTGTTTTGTCTGTGGAGAGATACTGCTTGCATTTGCATGAATCTGTGAAATCGAGAGGCTGGAATATCTTATCCCTGATGTTCGTTGTATTGGGCAATGTGTAGCCTCTGCTTAATTTTCTCATAAATATACACACATACAATCCCGGGTGGAAATTTGTGAGCTGTGGAAAGCCCCAAGCTTTCCTCTCACTTCCCACCCTCAGGGGGAATTGGCTTTATTCTTCACATACCCTTGGAACAACGCTTACCACTCCTCAGGAGCTTAAATCTATGCCACCCAAACAAAAGAAGCCCGAGGGTGGCTGAGGGTCACCAAGAATGTCGCATGCCTGGTGGCTCTTGGCATGTGGGATGACAGCTGCTGGGGTGACGCCTCAGTAACCAGATACAGCAGGGCAGGGGCAAAGCGTGTGTCTGACAGAATGCTGCTGCACAGCATGGCCAGGGGACGGGCCCCTGCACCAGGGCCCGGCTGAGCCAGGTTTACCCCTGCATAGATGAGCACTGACCTTGTCAGCATCAGGTAAGACTGTCCTAAGCAGCATTTTTGACCTTTTTGTCCAAACTCACCAGCTGTGCACAGGAATCCTGGAGGCACGAGGACGTGTTTTTTTGAGACGCCACAGATTTGATATGTGGTGGTGATCTGGCCTGCTCTTATTGTGACTGAAGTCTTTAGCAAACTGTCTGCTGACTGAAGTTGGACAGGATAAAGCAATGAATGAGGCTGAAAGACTGAATGAAGCTGAATGAGATTGAAAAAATAGTTTGGAATAACAAAATCTAATGCAATAAAACCTCATCTCTACCTGGGAAATTTGATTACCAGAGCAATGCAGAAACATGAATCAATATAAAAGACCAAGTCATGCCCTGCAAATACTTTTATGAATGGTACCTCTGAACATTCCCTCTCCTACCCTGCTGTAAACGTGCTCCTTTGGCTGGAGGGGTGTTAATCAGGAGAGAGCTGAGGGACAGAGCAATCTGGTCATCTGGGCTGCACCTTGAAAGCTGAACTGCTTCCTCACGATAAGGAGACACTAGCCCTTGGCACACCAACAATGTGCTGTCAGGAAACATTTAGATTTACCCTTGAAAAATGTGTTAGGACAGATTTGGTAGCAGTGACACAAAAAGCTGTCAGCAACTGACACTAGGCCACCCCTGTTTATCTGGCGGTCCCCTGTGAGGAAGAGCAAGGAGGGGGACATCCACAGTGCTTCTGTACAAGCGATTGGACTTCCTCTGAGGGACGCCAGATCTGCACATCCCCCTCCTTCCCTCACCAGAATGTGTGGTCTTCCATTGATTCACACGGTTGTGAAGCGTGGTCGTTTCTGCAATGGCAACATACTTTGGAGGCATGGTCCAATGGAGCCATTGTTTCTGTCTGAAAAGGCACATATGGCAGAGGAATGTCTTAAATGGTCACACTTCAACTATTCAGAGTGCTTTCAGCCCATGAACAAGTATTGTAGGATTAACATTGGGCAGGATTTTACAAGGCTGTGAGCTAACAATGCTTCAGTTTGCATTTCTGTGACATATCCCACAGCAAAGTTTGTAACACAGGTTCTTTTGTCATTGGGTCAAAGGAGAGAAAGGCTCCAGGGAAAGCCTCCAGACAGTTTTAGATAATTATTGCAAAGGAAAGCTCTGCCAAGACCTATGGAATTATTTCCTATTTCAGTCATTGTATTCTGCTTCTGGACTCCTAGGTTTCCCTAGTATGAACATTGCTGACCTATCCTGTTATCATTTAGCCTTGCTTCCAAGTATTTGTTGTATGCATATTTCTTTCTTCAAGTGATATTTTAACTCATTTGAGCATATCTAATTGATGAGAGGGAGTCAGAGAACAGGTATTTGGCTCAAGCACTCACAAGACCAGACACTTACATACAGGAGATCAGCTCTAGACCTGTTTCTGAAATCTCATTTCTGTGATACTACAGCAAGTTAGGCAAGTTGTGGAAAAAGCATAGACTGAATTCAAATAATTGGTTCAACAGAACCATACTGCAAGTATAAAGGAGTATATATTAAACCTAATTGTGTTCAAGACTATGACAAACATTCGTATTCATGTTCTTCTGTAGATCTGTAAGCATACAGGGACATAGTTTTGTGTCATGACAACTGCAAAGCCACAAAGAAAGGTGGGCTAAGCTGGGAAGAGAACAGTTTCTGTGCAGGGCTCCTATGCTAGAGGTGGCTCAGTCCCCCAGAGCAAACCCTGCCATTAAAACACAGCTTTCCAAAACCACCTTCCACTGCTCTCCCTGAGACAGACGTTACCCATTCAAGGCCTAAAGTCAACTCCTACACATCCAGTTTTCCAGGCTGCAAAACAGAAGCACCCTCTTTCTTCATAGAGAAAGAAGGAGCTCAATTTCTAATTGCTCCTATCCTTCTTAATCTTACTTGCATACTCCTGGCTTTGACCGCAAGATGAGTTAGTTCTAGTTTGACCACATACCTAACAAAGACAGTGGCTGCTCCTTTAATTAAATCAGCATTTGCTTATGTGCTGGTTTCTGTGACACAAAAGTCACATCTTCAACTTCTGCTGAAAGACAACAGGTTAATGAATAGAATAAGCATTAATGCACCTGGTTTGCAAATGAGGAGAGGGACAAGATAC